GTAGGCGCGGCCCGTCGTCGGCGGGTAGCGCGGCTCGGCGCCCGGCGCGACGAAGGACGGGTGGACGGCGACCTCGAAGTCCGCGTCCGGGTCGATGAAGGCCGCGATGGCGTAGCGCGGCGCCGCGGCGCCGGCGCCGGCGACGACGCGGTGCGCCGTCGCGCGCCAGCGGTCGTTCGTCCACCGCGCGAGCAGCGCGCCCGTGTTGACGATGGCGACGGCGTCGTCCCCGGGCGCGGCGACGTCGCGCCAGCCGCCCCGCCAGTCGTCGACCTCGCCGCCGGCGACGGGCTTCATCTGGAGGCCCGGCGCGCCGTCGCGGACGAAGAGGAACGTGACGAAGCCAAAGTCCGTGTGTTCGCCCGCGCGCGCGCGGAGCCCGTCCCCCGCCGGCAAAGCCGGGTAGTGCAGGAACCGCAGCGTGCACTGGTCGAGCGCCGCGAGGCTCGCGGCGAAAAAGTCGCGCGGCAGGTCGAGCGCGACGGCGGCCGCGACGGCGTAGCGCCGCGCCGCGCCCTCGATGATGGCCCGCCAGAGCTCGTCGGCGGCGTCGCCGAAGCCCGGCGGCGCGGCGGCGTAGTCGTTGCGCTCCTTCACGTTGAACGCCTCCTTGGGCTCGTCTCCGCGCGGCGCGCGTTGAGCCGCTCGCGGCCCGGCGCCGAGTAGCCGCGGTTCGTCGCCTAGGATATGGTCATCGGTTTGAAGCTCTCTCGGAAATCAGACGCGGCCCGCCGCCGGCGTCAGCCGCTCGAGCCGCGCCTTGGAGGAGTCGTCCATCGCGAAGAGCGCGGCCGACGCGTTCCACGCGCGGTCGAGGAGCTCGCGGTCGGCCAGGTTTTTCAGAGCGACGAAGCCGTGGTCGCGCGCGGCCGCGTCGAGCGCGGCGGCGACGGCGCGCTGCGCGGGCGTGGGAGTGGCGGAGATCGCGGCGAACGGCGCCAGATCCAGCACGGGCAGGACCGGAGGTTCCAGGGAGCTGTCGTGTGCACCGTTTGCGCACGTCTCGTCGCTCGCTGCGCGCGCCAAGTGCAGCAGCAGGGCCCACCACATTCGATCCATCGGCCAGTCGGCGCCGAACAAAATGTTCAGTTTCACTGCACGACAGGCTCAACTCGAGGCCGCGACGTCTGTAGCTATCTGTGAGGCTCCTCCGACTCCGACGCGCGCCTAATCGGACGTGCGCACGCGTTTCGCGCGCCGTGGCCGCGGACTGCGAGACGCTCCTAATCGCGTGCGCCGCCCGGCCGCGGCACTGCCGGCTAAGCTAAAGTTAACCGGTTCAAAGAGCAGCGAAGCCGTGAAGTTTTGACGTCACGGCTTTGCCTCGCTCCGGGCTCGGACGCGCGATGCAGCGGTTCCAAGACTTGGCGCGGCGCTCGGTCTGTGGACCATGTCGCGCCTTGGGCCCGGCTGTGAGTCGCTCGGGAAAGACCATCGGTCGAAGGCGAGCAACTTAGTTCGCGTCGGGGCAGCCCGTGGATGACGAGAACGGCCATTAACGGTGGGGGGCGACCGACGAGGGGCCCAACTTAGTTCCAGGGGGCGTTTGGGCTGTTAGACTTCGAAGAGACCCCCCCTGGAATGATGTTCCCGAGGGCACTGTCTCGGTTCTAACAGCCCAAACGCCTCATGCATTGCGCGGTGAGCACCGTGTCACCCGCGGCGCCGCACGCCTCCCGGAGGTGGTGAGGTGATCTCGATCAAATCCACTCGAGCCGAAGAGCTGCCGCGAGGGCATCTGGTCGCCCCCATGACGAACGATTCCCGACGCTCTGTGACTCGAAGGGGACCGAAAATCGGGTCGGGGGAAGCTGCCGCGCCTCATTCCACCCCCTGGGCCTGCCCGTTTGCGTCGCCTCGCAATCGTCCGGATGTCACGTCTTTTCATGT